CAGGGAATTAGATCTAGCGATAAGCGAGCAGAACTGGCTGCTTGTTCAGAGCATTAGACCCTGAAAGAATTCCTTTGTAATTGGAATATGCCGCAAAAATCAGATTTCAACACCCACGCCCTGACAGATCCAATCCTTCCATACAGGAGGAGTTTAATATTTCAGTCTCGGCTTTGCATTATTTACTGCTTAAATTACATTTCAGCAAGCGGTGGTTTTGGAACAGCAATACTCTCGATTCTTTGAATTTGGACAACTTCCTAGCCAGAACTTTTCTCTGTCAGAAGCACAAGCACCATCTGAGTTTAGGGGGTGTGGAGGCTTCTGCAAGCCTTGGGGTTTTGCTGGGCACCCAAACGTTTGCAATGTGAAATATTAATCTACTTCCAAGCAATGAGAGGCCCCTACTCGCTCGGCCGGGATTGCTGCAATGCTCCTCACTGCCTCCCATGCGAATTTGAGAGAGCAAAACGCTCCTGGGGAAGCGAAAGTCTTGCTCAAACTTGACCCCTGCAGCTGGAGCAGCCGGTCGGGGCCAGCGTCCTCTGTGCAAGGCAGCCCCATGGGCTAATTAGGGGTCTCGACAGAGCTAATTTCTCCGTGAGGATGCCCACTACCATCAGCCCGTTGGAAGAAATAATTTGCTCTTTCAAACAGCCTTTACAAGAACACAAAGCAGCTGCTGAGGCTTTGCACCCACCGAGCCCCAGCTCCCGGGAGGCAAAGTTCAGCCCCGAGCTCGCCCGAGGGTGGAGAGGATCTGCGCAGAAACAAGTTTGTTCCCCTGCCCACCAGTTCTCTGATGCGATTACGGCTCTAACACGTTCACCCGACTCGAGAAAGGGGGAAAATCAGTGTTGAAAAATCCCAGTTTTTATGATTCAGAAGGATTTTGCAGTTTCTTCCTTTTGCTGAATAACATGGCAGTTCAGCCACGAACTAAAAATACGAGCGTTTCATTTAAAAGATGCAGTACTTGAAAAGCCGTTTTTCAATGCTATAGGTCTTCCCCCACTAAAAATGCTTTTAGGAGAAGCTATGTTTTATCAAAAACAAAAGTGACAGCTGCTGTAACTGTCCTTTACAAAGCTCCCTGAGCCCTCAAACATCAAAGAGGTGCTGGGTAGCAATTAATGCTAATTGCTTTATATGAAGAGGCTACTTTCTTTTAAGCCTGGTGCTACTACGAGCACTCTATCCCAGCTCTCCAGGGATGTTCCAGACCCTCGGTGTTTTTCCTGTCTAAGGCAGAGCAGCTGTTCCCCCCCCCAGCATCACAGCTGCCAACAAAGGGCTTTGTGCTGGCCAGCTCGAAATACCAAGAAAAAAGCAAAACACCATTTGCAGGTACCATCCCAGCTGCTCCTGCTTGGCAGTGGCACAGCGGGACGGATCCCACCTCGGAGCAAAAGGACACGATGGCAGCAGATCTATAGTTCCTTCTATTTAAACAAGTAAATCAAGTGCACGTAGCAGTTGCCAGAGCTGTTTGCTGTCCTGAGCACAAGTTTTCCCAGGCTCTCTGCTGGCAGCTGCAGGTCTCCCCAGCTTTCCTCCCACCACCACCTTCAAACCACCTCATCCGTCTTCACTGGTGACACCTCCACCACGCTTTCCCCTTTCCAAAGCAAAGCACATCCGGCGCCCCGTGGATGCCCACAGTCCTGT